GCGTTGCCGGCACCTTATATAAAATAAACAAACTGTCATCAGAAAGAAATGGTTTCAAACAAATGACATGAAAGTGAGAAGTTAAGTTTGATCGTTTTTTGAAAATGATTTAATTTCGTATATGTTACAGTACTGACATTCATATAAAAGCAAAATGTTTTTCTTATCTTAAATTTTTATAATTATGTTTAAAACATTCATAGAAATTACACTTGACTCGGACTTTTATAAATATTGAAATATTTCGTTAAGTAATTGAGAATTTGAAATTAATTATGGAAATTGGTGATTTATCACGATTTATCGTCGATTTTCCAAAAATCGTTTCTTCTGCCATAATCTCAATAAAATTTTATTTAATCACCAATTTTTTGCCAAATACGATTAATCACGATTTTACGCCAATTTTTTTCGAAATCGGCAAAATCGCGACGATTTTCACAATATGGGAAGTCAATCTGTCGTTGATAACAATGCGTAAGTGCATTTTAATCGGTGTATAATTTTGAAAAACATATCGACTTTTCTTTCAATATTGGTCGCATAACCAATTTTTTCCATCATGCAAACAAAATAGTGCAAATATGAATATTCTCAACTTCTTAGTATTTTCAATAATTTGAATGAATGCAATGTATTTCTTGAACTGAACTGTAATAAAAAAAAATTCAAATAACAATCAATCAAAATCATCTTTTTATATAGATTTATGTGCTCCTTTTCTTCTCTAGAAAAAATTAGGAAATTTCAAAGAATGAAAACACGGTAGGAGTGTCAGAATTTCCGTTCCCAAGAACTCAGAACCCTCTAAGGGTTCTGATTTTTTGGAAACCCGGGAACTCCTAGCAACTTTGTACAAAAAGGCAGTAAAAGGGTATGTAAGTAGTGCATTGTGTTAAAAAACGCATAAGAATGAATTGTGAAACGGGTTCGGGTTCCTAGGGAACGAAACCTTGACACCCCTATACGAGAACTAATAGTCGCAGTATACAATATGGTCTGCACGTCGGCAGCTCTATCAGAGAGAGAGCTAGAATTGAGTTTGTGTAACTCTACACAAAAGTATACAAGTGTATATAAGATGCAATAGAAGGAAATATTTTGTTATAGATGAAAATTCGTTTATCTCTTAGTTGATATTCTTCGAATAAATATAAAAAACTAAAGATGTAAAATATGGATCTCTAAGATATGCATTTGGAACCTAATTCTCTTTCATTCTTTTCTTTTCTTTTCATCTCAATGCCATAATTCTATATAAATTAATCTACTGGTAAACATGTTTTATTTAAACAAACATTGATAACAATCATAATATTTTTGTATGAGGAAAATATTGTTTTAAATATTCAGGAATTTCACATTCACAAATTAGACCTAAAAAACCTAGTTTTCTACAATTTGTTCGTGTTGTTTTTCTTGTAAAATCTTGTGTCACTCTTTTCAGTATTTGATAATCGACATTAAGAAAAACATTATTTGGCAAACAAGTGTTCGTATCAACAAGAAATTGTTCAACATAGTCATCATGAGCGTCAACAAGATCAAGATGAAAAAGATGTGGATACTCAATGATTGATAAATTTTGATTGTTATCATCTAATTTTCTAGATTGTTTATCATTTTGTGGTTTTTCATTAATTAAAGTTAATTTTTTCATAAATGGAAACGATTGAGAAATTTGAAAAAAAAAATTATGTTCAAAAGGTCGTTCATCAAATAAAGATATTTCACGAACATATTTAAATATTCCACCTGGAAAATTATTTGTTATTCTGTGATACTCTTTTCGTTCATATGGATAAGAATAAATATGACATTCATCTCGTCCAAACTTGTAAAAATAATCAACACAAGATATAATTTGATTATTTTGAAAATCATTGAATGTATGTTGAATATCTTCATTTGATACTAAACTAATTTGATTATGAAGATGAAAACTTGAGCGAATGTCAAATATAAATTTATTTAATTGTGGCATATGGTTTAGAATATTTCTTTTCAAATTATTCCCATTAATAAATGTGTTCTTGTAACAAATTATAAGATATAAATTAAGTTTTTCTAAATTTAACATTCGGTGCAAAAGTGGAAGAATTAATTCATCATAAGCACTTGTATGTTCATCACAACATAATGAAAAACATTTTAAATTAGATAAATTTTCCTATAAAAAAAAGAAAAGCACACATAGAACTTCATGTGAACTAATTAGATATTAATGGAAATAATCTACCGTCTTATTGATTGTTAAACATGAAGAACGACGAATGAAAAAAGTGTTAACATGAAATACTCGAAGTTGAGTAAAACATCGATCAAGTAAATAAAGACAATCGTCGAAATGTTCTACATTGACATGTAGTTCTAAGAGAGTTGAAGAACTAAAAATTGGAGGTGAAATATCAAATGATAAGCGTTGAGGATAATTTCAAGATGGTTTGAAGTTTAAATATTGTAGATTGGTGAACATAGTAAAGATATCTGTAAATATAATTGTTTTCTCATCTCTTGTTATAATTTGTTCCTTATTTTTCCTAATACAGATAGTAACTGATGAAATTTGATTTTTAAATAAATCAGTTAAAATAGTTTCATCTAAACATAAATACAAAAGTGTTTAGAAACAAATAAATCATCTATATAGAATCTTCTCTCCAATATAAATATTTACATTCATTGTAAAGTAACCCTTTTTTTGATAAAGACTTACTGTTATTCAAAGATAAAACTAATTTATTATCAATAAAACATTCAATGATCTACTCAACTCTATTAAATTTATAATGAATTTAATACTTCTCATTTGTTGAGGAATCAATAACAATTAAATTAAAATATCTTACTAGTAAATAGATGTTTCGCTTTTTCTATTTCAAGATTATATAAACCAAGTCCATATAAATTAGGATAATTTGTAGAAAGAATGCGTTCCATTGAAGATGATTCAACATCGAGCCATTGGATTTTATGATGAATCGAAGGTAAAATTTGTAAAAAACGATCAATTATTGTATCAGATAATGGATGGATGGTATTATTGGAGAAACGTCTCATCAATGTTAAGTGACTTGTAAAAGTTGAATCATGTACAAATGTATTGAGCCGTTTATTAACACCTATTAAAGAATAGAGTACTTCATCATTGTCCAAATTTTTGAAAATAATCATAAGAATTTCATCAGGTAAATCATTTAATTGAACCAATGAATGTGCCATTATTATTTTCATCTCTGTATATTCATTTATAACTTTGAAATGTGATCATATATATATACACATTCATTTCATCTATATGACCTTAGTCGTCAACGAAAATAATGGTGCATTTTTCGGTATGATGGAAAAAGGTAGAAAGGAAAAATATCGAAAATAAAAATGTCGAAAACAAAAATACGAGGTAAAGATGAATATTTAAGATTGAAGGTGAGGGTGGGGAGATTTGTACTTCAATATACTCTCGTTTACAGTATTTCTAACCATCTACATTTCTTTTATTTTTGTTTGCGATATTTTTATTTTCGACATTTTTCCTTTCTACGTTTTTCCATCATACCGCATAAAACAGTATTGGAATAGTATGTATACATTCAGTCTTAGTAGTTAGCAGCATGTGGGTGTGGGGTGTAGGTTCCCGCGAAGAGAAGATCCACACCCAAACCCCCACCCCCACCCCACAGGCACACCCACCCACCCCACACCCACACCCACTCACAGTCACACCCACACCCACCCTATATATTACAGGAGGGTCACCACTCTTAATATTGTTCGACACCGCCGATTCGCTTTATTTTTTTCTTCTATACACGTGCATTTCTATTTATTCACTCCTCCGTCTTATATATTCTTATAGACTAGATAATAAATAATCGTTCATTTCAGTCGACAGACGACGGTCTAGTATACATGCATTTCTCTTCATTTTATCTGAAAGATAGACAAACATATCTATTCTACTAAAAATTCTTTGATTTATTTTTTAGTTTGTAAATTTAATAAATGCGTGTTTTCAATAAATGTCATTGAATAATAGTCAAGATTATCCAGACAGTACGGATATATTTGTTCGAATAAATAGGGATGGTAAAAAATAGCAGTGATACACTGCCTCATCAAGTCACTTCGAATCAGTTTTGTCGTTCTGTTGTTATATGATGCTAACCATACGAAAGAAAATTCTTTTTTTTTCGTTGTATCTCTTATATGTACACGAAAATGGATTTCTTTTCGCATGGATATCATCGTATAACAACAACGACAAAAGTAGCTCGAAGTGACGTGATGAGGGAGTGTGTCACTGCCATTTTTCTCATCCCCAATAAAATATTTATTTTATATTTTATTACTAGATGATTATGACCGAGATTATCATTCATTGAAACGTGGTAAGTTGTATATATTTCCAAATGAAAAAACTTCTATAAAAATGTTTTTGTAGCTCGTACAAGTCGCATAGATCAAATTTCATCCGACTATTTTCAATCTCGTTCATATTCTTCAACACGAATAATGGATGAAAAATAATCGTTCGAATACTTGAAACATGATTTAAACAACTATAAAGATATGATATGATTACAATTAAAAGTCAATCTTATTCAAAACATAATGATTAGATGATGGATGTGATTTAGCATCAGAATTTTATCAAGCAGTTGTACTTGGTGAACATGGTCTTACATTAAATATAAATAATTCATTTTGTTTTTTTTATCAAAATTATAATTTAGTTCAATTTCTTTCTTGTTATTTAAATAATGATATTCGAAAACATGGTGAATTTTTTTTTCTAAAACTTTATTTTAAAAATTTCTCTTTTCTTTTATTCCTCTAGGAATTCCACTAAACGATTATCCATTACTTGTTCGAAAAAATATTAAAATCTCTTTGGTTTACAACAACTGATACGAATCAAGTTCGTCGATATCTCTTAAAATCATTTGGTCGTCCAGCAAAAGAACATAAATTTGCTAAAAATGACAATGAACAAATAGCAGTTGCTGATTATTTTAATGACAAATGGAAATTTCCTTTATGTTATCCACATTTACCTGTTGCAGATTATATGATCCAGCTGATAAAAATACATCACATGTTTTTCCAATAGAATAAAATTTCGGTAGAAAAATTCAATGGAAAATTAGATGGTGTTAATCAACTTGTTTCATTAATGGAATTGTTAACATCACCATTAGTTCGTAATGATGTATTTATGTTTTGTTCGTATTGATTGTACTCGTATAATATGTTCATGTAAACGACCAGCAATTGCTGCTGTTATTGGCTTAAAAGATTCAACAAGTTTATTTTTATTAAAAAATTTTCTTTTTATAAATACTTTTTTTTTGTTTAGGTACACAATATGTTGCTCGTTTTATTCAAAAATTTTCACCAAAAGACAAAAAATAGCTCTTGAAATAATAAAAGATCTTCACATAGGTATTGATGAAATATTTAGTGAATTTTCAAATCATAATTCACGTTTATCAAATAAACTTGTTTTTTATCGAGCTAGTTGATATCGATGATGGATCATTTGAAAAAAGTACGTTATAATGAATTACGAGCTATTCAACGAGCATGTAAAGGTAAGTATGATTTTTCAAAGACAGAATCAAATGAAGAAATTTTTCTTTCTATAGAATTATATGGTCATAATCAAATTACCTGAAATTTGTTTTGATGTTGATAAAAAACGTCATAATACTCGTTTTTTCACTTGAGATAAACAATCTAATTAAACAAATAATATTCAACCAAGTTAAAATTAATTTAGATTTAGATTTTGTTTTTAATGTTTAATCCTCTAGAATTACAAGAATCATTTCAATCCAATTCAACATAAAAATATCTTGAAAGGTCAATTTTTATTATGAAATAATATTGGTGCAATAACTTGTTACAGTGAACATATTCAGATCTCCTTTCATCATGTATTATATCATCGTTTAATTACAATTGATAATAAAACAGATAAATGTTCAATTGAAGATTTATTATCAGTTATTGTACCTGATTAATCACAAACAAGAAAATTATTATATGTATTTTATGTCCATAATTGCGAGTCGAATATGCGTCAATGATCAATTAAGACTGAAAATAATGATAAAATTCAATTAATTAATTTACACAAAGACTTTTTGATTATTAAAACACCAAACGGATTTTTATGTTTAATGAATTTATCGACTATTCAACAGTGTATTATTTTCTTCCAAAGCTCAATTATTTCTACATGTGATCAACAATATTATCTATGAATTATTTTTTATTCAACAAAAGTATTCTAGTTTTTTATGAAAAACTTCTTTTTAATTTTGTTTTTGTTTAGATTTTCCACAAGAACAAGCAATGGCTTTTTATTCTTTTGAAAATAAAAAATGGTATATGTAACAGATAAATAAATTCGATTTTCTTGTTATTGACATCATTTTCTAGATGATTATCTTAAGATAAAAATTGTTTTGGACATATGTCTACATTGTTTTTTGAAAAAGATAAATTAGCTATGATTTATCTTTGAGTTTTTTTTTATAGATAAAATGAACATAAATGCTCTGAAGCTTTTATTTTTCATATACAAGGGAAAATATCATAATAATTACGATAAACTTATGTTAACGGCTCATTGGTTATTAATCAATTTCGCTTTTGTCGTGAAAGATAAAAACGAAGAGGTAACGAATTATATGTTGTTCTATTGATGTTTATTATTTTTATTATATTATAGGAAAATATGTTATTTACGTTTCATCGAAATACATATAATGTTCTAATAATCAAGTATATATACAACGGTCAGGTTTACTCCCGATTCGTCCCTGATTGGTCCCATCCCCTATTCGTCCCACTCTGAATTTTTCCTAATTCGTCCCTTTCTCGTTTTTCAGTCCCTCCTAACTCGTCCCTAATTATCTATCAATCAAGAGGGTGTGGGTGTGTGGGTGTTGGTGTGAATCTTTAATTTGCTCACACCCACACCCCAAAATTGACGAAGTTGCAACTTCGACAAAATTGTTGACGACGTGATGTGTCGATGACTACCTAACAATGGTTAGTAATTATCCTCTACAAGATGCCACTATAATAGGTGCATTCAAATAAAATTAGGGACAAATTGGGATCGGGGACGGATTGAGAAAGGGACGAGTTAGGACTCAATTAGAGTGGGACGAATTGGGGAGCGATCCAACGGCCATAATGTTAAAACGCAACATTTTTTCGAAGATGGAATGATTAAAGTTACTTTTGAAGTAAGTTTATTCAATTTGTATTATTTTTAATTTTCTTTTTATATATAGTTTAATGCTAATGATAATCCTAAAACATTCGCCGTTAAACACGACGAATTTATGAATCAACAACGGTAAGTTAAAAATTTCTTACTTTTCTTCATTATTGATAAATGTTCATTATTTATAGTACTGATGTTGTAATGCAAAAATTATCTGATTTAAATACAAAATTACGAACGAGATTATATCAAATACTCAACGAACTAGGCCTTCAATGAGAACAGTAGCAAACAACAACATAACGTCCATTACAACAATTGATATTGATAAAAGAAGAATAAATATTAATATTTCCATCAACTGAAAAATGATACTTTTCTTTGTTAGATAGTTATCATTCAGAAAATAAATTATTTTGCATCAACATATATTGTCTAATGATGATGTTCAATTGACTATTCTGTTTCTTTCGAGTTATCGCCTATGCTTATCTTTCACTCTGATTCGATCTTAGTAAAAGAAAATGACGGCCAGATTCTCAACTGTAACAAAAAGCATTGCTGATAGTGCTTATTTGTTTACATTCCACCATATTTTTACACAGCTGTTGCTACGGTGTTAAGTGAGAAAGAAACAATTGTTTTTCAACAAAGATTATGACATGTACGAACACAAAAAAGTAGTGTCGAAAGATTATACAACAAAGTACACCTCCACTGTAATTCGACAGAACGAAAAAAAATTCATATCCTCCAAAAATTCTGATAAATAATAATAGAATGAATTGTAATATTCTACGAAGTCGAATAAAAAATGTTGACTTTGGTGACTCGATGAGGTGAATTCAACGATTAATAGTATAACAAAAAATTGTTGAATAGAAATATATCCCTTCTCTATGAATTAGAGAATCGATTGATCAATAAACACAAATTACGGAGATCTTGAAAGCTTCACATCGAAGCAATACCCCGGCTG